CTTTCCCTTCATTTATTTTTTCTTGTTCAATCAAAATAGAAATGTGAGGAAGGTGAAAGCTATTGGTGGTGTTAATCGTTAACACTTTTATATTTTATTTGTCTCTCAAAAACGTTATTGGTTGGTGGACAAAAAAAGAAATTAGTAAGATGAAGAGAGTAAATTTACATTGAAATCGAGGGATAATGGATCCTCCATAATGGAAAAGGAAAATCAAAACAACAAATAAAAAGAGAAAGCATTGATGGAGCAAATATTCCAATCCCTTTGCATATTTATTTGGGAAACTCCTTATAGAGGCCATGTTCTTTACGTTAAATGGAAGTTATGATATTTCTCGAGAGAACCACATCACAAAAGTTAGTTGTTGTACTTGAAGAGCCCAAGGCCTAATGAAACCCATATTATAATTGCAATTGGATCCTAATTTGCCAACATGCTCTACACCTCAATCGCCCATACGGGCTAGTTGTACGCATACCCATTTGACTAGTTTTGGATGAAAATGGCACCAACATTACTCATTGTAGTTGAGAGGTCATGTGCTTTATGCTAAATAGAAATTATGATAACCTTGAGAGAACCACACCACAAAAGCTAGCTACTGTGGTTGAGGAGCCCAAGGCCTTATAAACCCAACACTAGAATTGCAATTGGATCCTAACATTCCACTACGCTTTGAGTCCTAGTGCCCACACAGGCTAGCTGTGTACTAACCGTTTTACTAGTCTTCTTGGACGAACTTTGCAATGCCAACACCATTACCGATGTTGCTCATTTGCAGTTGAGGGACATGGTGGAATGCTCTAATACTAATTGGTAGAACTAGAACTGGTATCATAACAGTGAGAAAGTCTTTTATTTATTTATTTATTTATTTTAATGAAACTAGGGATAATCCCCAAGGAAGCTATGCGCTATACACAATTCCAGATATTTTAAGAGGTGTGGATCCACTCCTCATGCAGCTTTCATAATCACCAAAATTCCCTTAAACTGTTTAGAGTTATTCCTATGTTATATAGAAAACTACTAGTGTATAGTTTGTAACCGAAACCCACCCTTAATGGGCCTAGTTAGCCACAGGTTCGTTTCCCCTTCTTTCTAAAATAGCATTAATTTAGGACATGACATTTCCTATGTAATTAGTGTTGATTTTGGACAGATTGTTTCTTGTGCGTATATCTGAAATTGAGTCTATAATTACTAGGAGATTCTATTTCTTTTGTCATTAGCCTATATAAGTGGTTAGTGCTTGTATTCCAGGTTGTCAATAGTGGCTGGAGCAGTTGCCATTGCGGTGTGGAGCCGCTACAGTGACACCGTTGCATACAGTTTCAACATTGCAAGCTGTGACAAACGCTAATTGGCGGTGTGGAGTGACTGTGATCACGGGTTTAGGGGTGGTTTTGCGTCTACTATTTTATTGGACATTAAAATTTTGAAAATAACCTCACTTAATCAGGGTGCTTTTGTTCTTTCCACTTTCATATCTGAGGTGCGATTTATTACCTGGCAGGTAACCCTCATTTCTGAGGTGTGATTTATATACCTGTCAGGTAACTTCACTTAAAGTCAATTGATTTTAAGAAGAAATCTTGCACTATCAAATTAAGTGCCTCATGATCCCAAATCAGATGCTTACCCAAGGAAACCTAGAAAATTAGTGTTACAGTCCCATCAAAGGCTTCTTTGCAAATTGCATATAGAATTAGCTTCTTTGCTTTCATTCAAACAACTAAAGGCAATAACAAAAAATTGCCATGAATACTTAGATTCTTTATTTCTAGCTAATAAAGAACAGAAGCTAATTTTTCATATCATTCATTTAAAGTTATATTTCATTTCTTTTAATTTTCTTCTATTGAAATGGGAAATTTTCTTATTATAGATTAAACTACAAGGTGTGGTTATTATTATATTGTGATTGCTTATCATTCCCATAATATACTAGTTATTGGGTGTGATTTCACAATATGGCCTGCATTTAGCATAACAAATAATCCATAAAAAACAGAAGCTAAATTTTTGACACATTTATTTAAAGTTATTTTTCATGTTTATCTCTAATGTTGGTTATCAGATTCATCCTTGATTAAGTGCCTGTCTCTATAAGATTTTACACACTCCAATTTGGCTTCCTGAGGCAATTTTTATGAATGGAAGTACTTTCTTCCTTTCAGAAAATGCACAGTGGTGGTAAAATGAATCTAAACAAAGCGGAAAGTGTTTGCTTGAGGCCTGACCTGGAAACCTTTAATGTTTTGTTTTTGTTACTAAATGAAACAATATGTGCAAGGCTATTATTTTGCCTTTGTTACGAATTCTATTTAGATATATAAAATGATGGATAAAATGCAAATAGAACTGTTTATTTTGAACTTAAATAAAAACGAGGCTTTCAATAATAAAACTGCTGTATGCTTTATTAAAGTAGTGACTTCATTTGTAGTACTGACACTGTCTTTATCAACCATTCACCATACTCTATATTGCTTATGCTGAAATTGTCTTCAAGATGTTGAATTTGAAATAGATGACTTGTAAATATGGGTTTCATGTTTGCTGGTTGTGATGTGTCTGATGGATACCAAGCCCCAGACATGGTTGAAAATGAAAGACAAGTGGAGAACGCAAGCTCAAACAAACTACCCATTCCGATAGTTTACTCCAGCCATGGGCATCGGGGCTATAACTGCCATGAGGTTGTTATTGTCAGGAGTATGGCAATTAGCATGATAGTAATTTTCAGAATGTAGAGTGCAATAGCTGCTATGAGGTAGTTATTGTTAGCAGTATGGAAGTTTTTATGCTGTATTATACAATATAGAAATCAAAAAGTGGGGAATCAGATTTGCTATGTGACTAAGTTTAGGGCAGAAAATCTCTTGTAAGACGTTTCTGTGGGAGATTGATGCTCTGGATGAGCCTTGGCTCACTATTTACTGAATAAACCATTATTTGGGTGACAAAGAGGATGATCTGTTGTAGAAAAAACTTGAATTTTGTCTGAATTGAAAGCAGAATTTTGTCTAGCATGGATGACAAATTGGGACTCATGGAGGACTAAATAGAAAGGTTGGAGGTCAACATGACAGAGAGGCTTCTATATAAAATGAAAAAGGTATTGGGCAAACGGACAAAGGAAGAATACTAGAGTTTCAACCCTGAGAGGGCAGCTCTGCAGGAATAGTGTCAGATAATAATCGACATGACTTGGACGAGTATTGAATGGTAGTCTAGAATTGGAGTCTTCAATGGGGAAGACCTGTGGGATGGAATACGAGCTTAAACTTACTTCAAAGTGTAGAATACAAGTGAAGATGAGATGTTAAGTTGGCCAAGTTGAGTATGGAGTGTTAATAAGAATCATTTTAAGCAGGTCTAGAGTACCTAAGGAGTTATCTTTATGCGTGAGGGGAAGATTGCTATCAGGTCATCTCTAAATAGCCTCAAAGTCGTGTTTGACACTGGAAGCTCGAATCTTTGGATCCATTTTTCCAAACTCCTGTAAGTTACACAATGATTTAATGCAATTGATTACTCCTTCAATTTTATTTTCTTTCAAATGAGCTTATTTTTAGAATAGGTGACTATAGAAAGATTGTTTGTTATCTAACACCTACATGAAAATAGATAGCCCTGGATTAGCGTTGTATTTTATCTAGTTTTTCTATCAGGCTGTAGCTGTACATACTAAACATGACGGAAAACTTTTTTTTGTTATATAACACTCAAAATTGCTGTTCAGAAAATGTCCAGGAATACCTTGCAATATCCCTTATGGGCGGGACACGTCTTTTTTTTTTTTTGAACAACGTGAATGCAAAATATGTTTCAAATATGTTTTCACTCTGTAATGTCTAGTTACTTTTCATTCTCTGCGAATTTGCTGAGATTACAAAGGAAGGATCTTTGCCATTTTCAGCTCTTCATTTTGCAAATATAGTGGGTGAGATTGTCTTTGGTGGCATTGACTGACCACACTTATGTTTCACTTTCTCACAATGTTTATTGGCAAGACTGATATATTTTCAACTTCATTTGCTTCTGTTTAACTCTTGTCATCAATCTTGTTAGTGTACTGGCTTTGTCCAATATTCCCTCCCAAGTTTCATTTATTGTTTTTCATACAAACGTGATAACTAAATATAGCAGAGTTTCCGTTGGTTGTTGTAATCCATTTTTGGTATGGTTACTATTACTTAACATTTCAAACATTTAATATTTCTTTTTTCTTCTCAGTATATCCTAAGAATTGAAGAAGGCTGCTCTACTGTCTGCTAAGGCGGTTTTGTAGCTCTGGAAGGGCCTCCGCTACAAGGTCCCCCTCTCGGTAATGAATAATTATTTATATGATTAATATCGTTCTTGGATAATTATCATTCATGTCTATGCACTTAATCGCTGCAGAATGGAGCCTGCTACACAATATTATTATTATTATTATTATTATTATTATTATTATTATTATTATTATTATTATATAACTTGAACGTATGACAGTCGTGGTATGGTTGCAGGGTTCTTGGGAGATTTTTTTCTTGGGAGTTCGTGACTAGGAGTTTTGACTATGGTAATCTGCCTAGAGGATTTGCTGAAGATTCGTAATCATATTTTGGCGTAATTACTATGCTAAATTTTGTGTAGAAAATAAAAAAAAAAAGGTTTACATTATTCATGGCAATTAATAATTGCAGGCCATAGGAATTCTATGCCATTGGGCCACTTATTTATGAATAAGATTTGCGTCATTTTCTAGCAAGGCATACAGGTGGAAATACCAGTATTGACCAAAGTAACAGTGACTGAGGCAAATGCACCAGACCCAACTTAACACAGACGGTGGGCACTGGCAGGGTATCAGTCCATTGGATTGACAATTGTTTTTTTCTATTTTTTTATATTTAAATTTACACTGAAAAGTGAAAATAGAGAATCAAAACTTTTTTTTTACCATTTTCTATACAAAATTTTGAAAATAGGACATAAGGGGAATAAAAAATGAAAATAAAAATATTTTTTTTTTTTAATTAAACAACCCCTTTGATTATAAGAGAATTGCAAAATAACCATTATACCATTTGAAAATTTGATGGTGTTTGGTTTGACGAAATCATGATTTTTTTTTTTAATTTTATCATACTCAGTTAAAAATTTGGAGGTTAAAATCTCTCTCTCTCTCTCTCTCATTTCTTCTTTTGTCTCCTTCAATATATGCAAATTTAGAAAGAAAAAATAATTTATAATTTTTTTAACTGTACTGTGCAAATTAAATTGTCTAAGAATTTATTGTCTCAACAATGATTTAGTACACATGATCACATAAACTGATTTGGCTTGTCTGATAGGTAAGTAGATTGTATTCGGATACTGTTTGAATAATTTGATATTGAATTTAATAATGTTCGAAGAGTACTCGAGTTCTTTAAAATGTTTTTGTTGTTAAATTAATTGATCAAGAACTTGTTTGGTGGATAAGATATAATATTAGAGTGGAATAAGATAACACTAAGATATGATGAGACAAGGATAAACATTAATTTTATTACATTTTTTTGTACACATCATAATATAAAAAATAAAATAATATTATTATAATATATGTTATGTATTTAATATATAACAATAAGATATATATAAGTTATATTTAAGCAAACTTTCTGTTTTATTAAATAAAAGTTTTAATTTAATTGTTTAAAAAAATTTATTTTCAAAAATACAATTTAACTATATAATACAAAACTGTTTATAATATTTTTTTAAAATTATAATCATTATTCAAATATTTTTTAAGAAATATTAAATAATTATTTTTAATTTAATATTTTAATTAATAATATATTTTAAATTTACATGTCAAAACTATTATAACTATTTATGAGATAAAATGCAAAAAATAAATTTATAATATATTATATAAATCAATATAATATATAGTCATATAATTTATATAAGTTTGTTATTTTATATATGATATAATGTATGACATAAAGTATATGAAGAGAAGAGAGGGAAAATTATCTTATGATGTTTTTTAACCAAACTCCTACAAGATAAAATAAAATACACTAAGACAACATAATATAATAAAAGTATTTTATTTTGTTGGTGCAATAAATAGTGGGTTTTATTTGATCATATCTTAACCCGATTTCCAAATAGACCTAATATACGAGACGTTAGGTACTAGTAGAATATTGATAAAATTTAACATCATTTCCAAAGAGATTTACAAAATTGATTTGTTAATTTACATAACTAATAAGAATTACCTGCAATAAGCACAAGCCTTGAATCGAATTTGGATCCTCTCCTGGATCCAAATTCCCTTGAATCGTGGATAAAAAGTATAGAATAAATGCATACAAATAAAATAATTTGTTTAATATGTGAATTTTCATATATAGGAGTTGTTTACTTTGTGAAAACTTTGAGCGACAAGAGCATTTCCCTGGACTGACACCATTGATAACAAACAGGACAAAGAGGGTATCCCTCCAGTTTTCAGATCAACACCATCTTCCCCTTCCACTCCTCCTTTCGAGCTCTGCTTCAGGTGCTCTTCTTATCTTTTAAAATTATAAATCATTCTACTCATGTATTATTTCTTTTATTCCTTTTTACAAATTCCTAATATTATGTGTTTATGTGATGTTATTTCAATTACATAATTTATATTAATTGATATATATTTTTTATTTTAACCAACACAAATATATTTGTATGCTTTGGTGAGTTGTCGATCCTATTATACCATATTTTAAACAAAACAATTATATTTTTTATTTTAAACAAAACAATTATATTAATAAAAAAAAACTTCGCAACTTTATTTTTTTTTTCACATTTAAAATAATTCTTTTATTGATGTTTTCACGATAAATTTTTTTGAATCATTGTTTTATAAAATATACGAAATTAAATTTTAATTTTTAAAATTTATAACTCTTAATTTTTAATCACAATTATTTGATCTCGCATATTCTTTTATTAATTTTATTTTTATAAACTAAAAGTAGGTGAATGATAACTAATAACTTTTTTAATTACTTTTAATATTATTGTGATGTATAATATTATTTTTAAAAATTATTTAATTATTTAATTATTATTTTTATTTTATTTTCAGTCAAACTTTAATTTTTAATTTTTAAAATAAGATAATATTTTATCAATACTTAAATAATGATACATCTAAATACTTTAAAATTATATAAATATTGTTAATATATATATATTCAAATATAATAATTTATTGAATTTTAAATATTTATAATATAAGTTATTATATAAAAATTTATTATATATTATATAAGATCTTAAATAAATTATTTTTCAATCACTCGACCTTGTTTCAATAATGTATAATAAAACTCATCGCCTTTTGTTTTGTAAAATTTATGTTATTTCAATTGTTATAGGTAATTTTTTTTAAAGTAATATGAGCAAACAAACTTTTAATATTAACTATTAGACAAAAAAATTCATAAGTATTCAAAATGTATTGTAAAAAAAAAAATACAACTTTACCTCAAAGAAGAAAAAAAGAGTAATGAATTTGTAATTATTTATTTATTTATCCCTTCGTCAAAACCGAATAAAAGAAGTAAAACAAATATTAGTACTCAGTAATCAATTCTTTTTAAAAAATGGAAAAATGAAAAAATATTATATACACAAATATTTATGATGGAGTTGATTAGATAGTTTTTTTTACTGGTAAATTCAAATTATGCAAGATATTTTAAATTGGTCATGCCATTATTGCTAAATATTTGTATTACCAACTAATTTGAATGAAAACATATCTTGTTATTAATTTAATGTTGTAATTATTATAATTATGTATTTTTAGAAATTAAAAATAGGAAATATATTTTGAGACGCATTTCTCTAATCGAAAATATAAAAAGAAAGATGGTACTAATTTAAGAGAGAAGCAAAATATAGAATCTGGTAGAACGGTGTAGAAACGTAATCCCCTACGTAAGTAACGCTTATCTTGCCGTGTCACTTATGACAACCACCATACACGTGGCTAAATCTTTATTCGCTAATCCTTCGATATTTTTGTCATTCACTCACCACAACCCACCTATAAATATAACCCCTCTCCCCTCTCTTTCTTTCACGCATTACCCACTTCCAATCTCCTAACCCTATTCTCGCAATTCCCAATTCCAAATCACTAATTCTCCGTTTCTCAAGGTCTGTTTCTCGTCTTTATCGCTCTTTCATTTGATTCTGTCGCTTTCCTGATTCAGATTATGATCGTACTTGCGTTCCGTTCTTATCCATTTCTGTTACTTGTGTTAATATGTTGTGACTTTTAACCGGTGTTGTCTTCGTTGAATCCAAGTTCGTTGAGATTTCTTTTCTTTCATATCGTCTGGTCTGATTTGATTGTTATATGTGATGTGTTTCCCGATTTATGGTTAGGCTTTGTGGTTTAATTTTTTCATTTCCGACGAATTAGGGTGTGCGCCTACGCCTCTGATTTTAATGCTTTAGTTTGTGATGGAACAGATGCAGATGTTTGGGATAATTTACTTTTATTTATATTTTCCTCAAGTCTGAGGGATTAGGGTTTGTGGCTTTATTGTTGTGCCTACATACGTATATATCTGTTTTTGATGTTTTAGTTTGTGATTGAACAGATGCAGATCTTTGTGAAAACTTTGACCGGTAAGACCATCACCCTCGAGGTGGAAAGCTCAGACACCATAGACAATGTGAAAGCCAAGATCCAGGATAAGGAGGGTATCCCTCCGGATCAACAGAGGCTGATTTTTGCTGGCAAGCAGCTCGAGGACGGGAGAACCCTCGCCGATTACAACATTCAGAAGGAGTCCACCCTCCATTTGGTGCTACGTTTAAGAGGTGGCATGCAAATTTTCGTCAAAACTTTGACGGGAAAGACTATCACCTTGGAGGTTGAAAGTTCAGATACGATTGATAATGTGAAAGCCAAGATTCAGGACAAGGAGGGTATCCCACCAGACCAGCAGAGGCTTATCTTTGCTGGGAAACAGCTGGAAGATGGAAGAACCCTTGCGGATTACAACATCCAGAAGGAGTCCACCCTCCACTTGGTTTTGCGGCTTCGTGGTGGCATGCAGATTTTTGTGAAGACTTTGACGGGAAAGACCATAACTTTGGAGGTTGAAAGTTCAGATACCATTGATAACGTGAAAGCCAAGATTCAGGACAAGGAGGGTATTCCACCAGACCAGCAGAGGCTTATCTTTGCTGGTAAACAACTCGAAGATGGAAGAACCCTTGCGGATTACAACATCCAGAAAGAGTCCACTCTGCATTTGGTTTTGAGGCTTCGTGGTGGCATGCAAATATTTGTGAAGACTCTGACGGGAAAGACCATTACTTTGGAGGTTGAAAGTTCTGACACTATAGATAATGTGAAGGCTAAGATTCAGGATAAGGAAGGTATTCCACCGGATCAGCAGAGGCTTATCTTTGCTGGGAAGCAGCTGGAAGATGGGCGTACCCTTGCTGACTACAATATCCAGAAGGAATCCACTCTACATTTGGTGTTGCGGCTTCGTGGTGGTATGCAAATATTTGTGAAAACTTTAACAGGGAAGACCATTACCTTGGAGGTGGAAAGCTCTGATACTATTGACAGTGTGAAGGCAAAGATTCAGGACAAGGAAGGCATTCCCCCGGACCAGCAGAGGCTTATTTTTGCTGGGAAGCAATTGGAAGATGGTCGTACCTTGGCTGATTACAATATTCAGAAAGAGTCCACCTTACATCTTGTTCTTCGTCTTCGTGGTGGCTGTTAAGTTTGCCCCCTTTTCGCCGTTTGTCTGTGGTGTCTTATGTAATGTCCCTTGAACAACTGTAGTTTGCAGCTCTAGTTTTGGGGCTGCTCTTATGTTTTAATTGTGTTTCTACTGATATCAAAAAATATTATATTTTGAATAGCCTTTGTATTTTAAATTACTACTAATAGTTTTATAATTTCAATACACTTTGTATTTTTAATTACTAATACTAGTTTCTATTGGAAGTATTAATACATCAGTCTTTCATCAGTTAATTTTTGCTTAACTCATTCTTTGTTGTCCATTAAACAAAAGCAACTTATATAATTGGTTATTAAAACACAAATATCACGACACATACCAGTAACAACAAACTGATATCCCAACACCATCACATCAGCTAATAAAACACACAAGCCAGTAACACATCAACTAACATTAACTTGTCCGACTTGCATGATTATTTTTAGCTTTATGTTTTGAAATTACGAAACACTTAAGGATTTCTCAACATAATACAGAGAATCATTGTTTTATCTCGTCAATAATTTTGTAGTGTAAGTTTTCAATTACATGATACTATATGGTTGTTGCAATAGGAGCTTGATGTTTCGTCGTCAATAATAGAAATGCAAGGAACAACTAATATGTTGTCAAGTTTCCAATTCGTGTTTTGACAAAGACTTGTTGGATAAATAGGAAATCCATCGGGATCAAATGGCCTACAATTTTTTTGGGGTCCTCATTCACCGTAAATAATGTAATTGATTACATTACTTATACTTTATCAGGCAAATCAATAGAAACCACTCGAAAAGATGTTATAATTCGGAAGAGTCAAGATATTTTGAGTATGAAGTTGAGAATGTCTCTCTGGGAACTAGGTATTGTTTCTTGGTCTTGCTGGATAAATGGCTCTCATGGTAATTGGTGAGTTGTGAATGACCATATCATGGTAGTAATTTCGGGAGTAATGCAGTTTTTATGCTATTTTATACGATATAGAAATCAGGAGGCAGGGAATCAGATTTGGTACTTGAGTCTGCGTGTGGGTTCCAAATGAAGCTGCGAGGAGCATACAGTGGTATGGTAAATTTTAATGGGACAAACCAAAGCCTCTCTTACATCGGCTCCCAGTCTTCATTGCTAGGTTTCATGAATTATAATACAATACCTAAGACATTAAGGTCCAAGTAGAACATTGACCATCATTAAGTTGCTCTCTTAATTTATACAATAATAAATGACTAATTGAAGAAATTTTTTTGGTAACGAGTGTTTTTTATATATCAAGTAAAATAGTTTTTATTTGTCTTACTATATTATTAGTTGGAGTATTCTCCTATTTTGGTAATAATCCTGTCTCAAAACCTTATTATACTCTTATTTTGGGAATAATCCTGTCTCAAAACCTTATTTCTCATATGATTATTTTTTTTTATCAAATTCAATATTTGAATTTGAGATTTTGAAATTTTTTACTAATAACGTTATTATCAAGTAACGAATATAAGAAATCAAATATAATATACATTTAACTTTTTAGTCTTTAATTTCTTCTATTTTTTTATATTCTTACTTTTTATATGATAAGAAATTTGTGGTAATTGATTGTTAACTAAAATTATTTATCAATGTCTTTGAAAATCATGTTGAATTATCACTTATATGTATGATTATGTACTTGTACATGAAGTTCAACAATTTTATTTAAACTTTCCGTCAAGGGATGGGTAATTCAACAAAGTATACAATTTATTGTCTAAATATTATTTATTTTTATTAAATATTACTCCTTACATCTTACGAAAACTGCAACTTTAGTATATGAAAAATATCTCAAATAAATTATGTTTTCACTTATTAATTTATATTAATTTTTATTTTTATCTTTCCATAAATTATTTAATCATTACAATTAAAAGAAATATTTTTTTCTCATAGATAAGATATACGCAGTATTCCAAAGTATTCCAAATTTGATAATTAAATACTAATTTATAGTTGCAAATTTATTGATCAAATATTATTAAAAATGTATTTTATTAAGAGATAAATTATTTTAATAAAATTATATAAAAAATATTTATTATTATCTTAAACTGTAGTTATTTAGAGACTAAAGAAGTACATGATCATAATATTTATTTGAGTAAGTTTTTTGAGAAACATTTTAAAAGAGAAAAATAAGAAGGAGACAAAAGTTATGATTAACTTGAACATAAATTCATTTTTCTTATAATCCAAGCTGACGAACTGAATTGAGATTATTGTATGATCATTTATCATTTATTTGGCTTAAAACAAAGTTCTCAACCTTAAAATTGTATTATTTTTAGTTGCCTTTTGTATCTTAGTCCACTCCGAGTCTTTTCCTGTGACTGAGAACAAAGTCATAGACATCCTTTTCATCAGAAATGAATTGGGACACACTTTCTCTCTCAAAACATCTGTTGGCCCAAACAACGAGTTTTGGATAATCCAGCTTGAATTTGCCCACTTTCTCATAAGTAGAGAACCATTTATAGAAAGGGATCAAAGCAATATCAACAAACCCAAATGTTTCACCTCCAAAATATGGCTTGTCCCCAAGAGCCTCCTCCAATTGCTTCAAATTCTCTATTAATTCCTTCTTTTCTGCCTCATGTTCATCCACCTTCCCAGTCCATATCTTCTTTGCCACTTCATGAACCTGCATGTGTTACTTGCTATTAATATAAATATGATAGAAAAAGAGACATTATATGACAGAAAAAGAGAAACAAGAAGTGTCAAAAAGTGTATCATCATTCAAAATTAAACATATTACCTTGTTATCAACAAAATCAGCCCAGAACCTGGCTTGAGATCTGTGGTAAGGATCAATGGGCAAAAGTGGTGCCTTATCCTTCCAAAACTCATCAATATATTCAAGAATAATGAGAGATTCAGAGATGGGTTTGCCATTATGGAGAAGGACAGGGACTTTCTTGTGAACGGGGTTGGATTGCAGAAGCAGTGGACTCTTGGTGTTCACCAGATCCTCTTCCTTCATCTCATACTTCACCCCTTTCTCTGCAAGTGCTATCTTAACTCTTATGCAGAACATGCTCAGACCGAAATCCAACAACACAACCTCATCTCCCATTCTCAAACACTCAAAATTCTATTCTACACGATCTCATATATCTCACTTATAACTTATCTCTTTCAATTTATAGGCAATAACATTCAATTCAGTCTGATTTTCTTTTCCATAAATTTTAATTTTTAAATATAATCTTTATTAACATTTAATGCTATATAACATGTATTAAATTATTTTATACTATTATTTTTATTTATAAGACTCAGTTTAAAATAATTGTTTATTTTTTTATATATAATTTAATTCACGGTATTTGATGTATTAATTATTTTTAGGATAAAATATTCTCGATTAAAATATGTTATCTTAATTTGTTAGAATACATAACTTTTTTAAAAAATATGTTAGGAGACTAATATAAATTATGAGAGAAAAATAGTATATGTTTAAATTTAAACATATATTTAAACACATTAAATGAATGAGAATAAATAGAGACTACTTAAAAAAACTTAAAATCTTTGAAAATGAAATAATAAAAAATAGGAAAATAAACTTAACTTTTTAATAATTACGATAATTGGAAAACATATTTTATCAGTTTAAAGTCAAATGTATTTCAAAAAACAAGAAACATTCATAAGTATTTAATATTAAAATTTATATTATTCCTTCAAATAACTATTTTGTGAGATTTGTTAATTAAATGCTAATATTTACATTAAATATGATTAATTTAATGAAATCATGACTGATCATAACATTAATGTTATAAATTAAAAAAAAATAACTCCGATGCTTTTAAAATTAAAAATATTTAATATAAAATACTAAATAATACCACCAACTAACTTTTTAGTAGAAAAAAATAAAATAAAACTTTTTTTTCCTTGCACCAATGTTCTAAGACTTCACCGCATATAAATTAATCTATAAGTAAAATGTGATTAAAATTATTTTTGCTAAAGATTAAACTCGATTATTATCCAAATAATTCGATTTTGAATTTAAAATATTAGCTATTTGTTCTCTAATTATTTTTTTCAATAAAAAGCTAATTTTATGTTGAAGTTAGAATGATAATAATACACAAAATTTTAAATCTAAATTATATTATTATTATTATTATTATTATTATAATTCTTACTTATCAAACTAAAAATAACCGGCAAGATTTTTTGATTAAATGCAAATTTTATGTTGATCTTAATTAATTAGTCAATACATTACTTTAACGTTGATAAAAATTAAATGAAACCTCAATAATTTAGATTTGTTTCAAATATTTTTTTATATAAAATTAAAAAATAATTAAAAGTTAAATAAATAAATTTAAAATATTATTTATTTATTTTCATGGTAACGTTTAATTTATTTACAACTACATTAGTTTATTTAATAAATTATTTTTATCAAATGAAAACTATTTTTTCATAGTATTTAATGTAATAACTTTATGAAAAAATATATATTATATTACCCTAAGGTAATACTTTTTTTTGTGTGTCATACTTAGAACTGAAAAGTGAGTCACAATATGATAGGTCAATAATTAGAGGTGTTTGTATATATAATAAAAAGGAGAAAAAAAAGTGGTTGAGAATGAAATGTAAATTTTTTTATTATTTAAATTATTATTAATTGACATAATTTTATGGTATTAAAATAGGTTAAATGTTATTTGACATATATTTTTCTTGTAAATTTATTATATTAAGTGATCTATTTGGTTTGAGAAATATTATGTAAGTATATTTAATTATTGGGTTAAGCTCAAAAGATAAATTCCTAATAATGTCGAAGAGTTCTATAAATTCAAGAAATTTAAATTTTTTTTGTATTTGAATTATTTTGATTTTAATATATATTATTTTAAAAATATATTTATATGTTAATATTTTTAAATTAAATTTTATAAAAAAAATATTAGCTAATTTTTAAATATTTAATAATTTTAAAAATTAATATTATATAATATTTAATAATTTTAAAAATATTTTTAAATATTTAACAATTAAAAATATGAAGAGATAAGATAAAATATATAAGTAAAATAAGAAGGAAAAAAAGAGAAATTTTGAATTCTTACTTTTTAGAAAATTTAAAATTTTACTATTTCAAGAAATTTTATAAATACTTGAATTTCAAATTTTTTATAAATCAAGAGATCAATTGGTAAAGGTTATTCTCTAATTTGATAATGTCAAAACTTTTCTTGCTTCCATTAAAAAAGATGTGTTCCTAAAAAAGTTGAAGTTGGTATAATTTTAAATAATTATATTATTAGTGTAATTTTTAAAAAAATACATATGTATACACCTAATTTTACCTGATTAATTATTATTAATATTATTATTTCATGCAATTTTTGAAAAATATAAAGAAGTGAAAAAAATAAAGAGACGAGAAGATGAGAAATAAAAAAAAAGTAATATTGGAAATATATTCTAGTAATTAACTTTTATTTTGGTAATGTGTAAATTTAAATAAGCAAAATATTAAAACATATAATTTCATGTATTATTATAAAAATAGATAAATTTATCATATTATATTATGGTTGTATAACAATATAATAAATCTATATATTATTAATGCTTTTTATTTAAATAACAAATAAATTATCATAGATTTATACAATTGACGAAATAAAAAATATATCACCGAAAAAAATCTTTAATTCACTTATTTTATAAATTTTATTTTTTATTTTAAGAGAGAAACATTTATAAATCATTAACATGAGCCTAATAATAAAAAATTCCAATTGGTAAGAAAAAAAGAAAGGCAAGCACTTATTTATTATTGGTATAGAATGTGGTAGAGCATTCTAGAAACGTAAATGCAAAATGCTTATCTTGTCGTGTCAGTGACATCTACCTCACACGTGCCAAATCTTTTCGTCATTCAGTCACCACAACCAACCTATAAATACCACCCCTCTTCCCTTTCTTTCATTCATCCCAATCTCATAACCCTAATCTTCATTTTCGAATTTGTCAAGGTACGTCTCTCTTCTTTTTCTCTCTCTTTCTAAACCTTAATTTAGCTTAGGTCTTTGATAGTGATCATATGAACGCCCCGAACTTTTCATTTCTCGTGTTTTTGAGTCATTTTAACGTTCCGATCTTTTCATTTCTGATAGTTGCGTTGACACGTTGTTGATTGATTTTATTGTCGTTGGATCCAAAGTTATTCAGTCATCTCTTGCGATTATGTAATTTGATAATTATATTAGAAATCTCCTCCGATTTCTATTTAGGGTTAGGGTTTATGAATTTTCGTTTATGAGGGTTAGGGTTTTGCTGTTTGATTCTGGTACCGAATATGTCTCTGGTTCTGATGGACTAGTTTGTGATTGAACAGATGCAGATCTTTGTGAAAACTTTGACCGGTAAGACCATCACCCTTGAGGTGGAAAGCTCAGACACCATCGACAATGTGAAAGCCAAGATCCAGGACAAAGAGGGTATCCCTCCGGATCAACAGAGGCTGATTTTTGCTGGCAAGCAGCTCGAGGACGGGAGAACCCTCGCCGATTACAACATTCAGAAGGAGTCCACCCTCCATTTGGTGCTACGTTTAAGAGGTGGCATGCAAATTTTCGTCAAAACTTTGACGGGAAAAACTATCACCTTGGAGGTGGAGAGTTCAGATACCATTGATAATGTAAAAGCCAAGATTCAGGACAAGGAGGGTATCCCACCAGACCAGCAGAGACTTATCTTTGCTGGAAAACAGCTTGAAGATGGAAGAACCCTTGCGGATTATAACATCCAGAAGGAGTCCACCCTGCACTTGGTGTTGCGGCTTCGTGGTGGCATGCAGATTTTTGTGAAGACCTTGACTGGAAAGACCATAACTTTGGAGGTTGAAAGTTCAGATACTATTGATAATGTGAAAACCAAGATTCAAGACAAGGAGGGTATCCCGCCAGACCAGCAGAGGCTTATCTTTGCCGGGAAACAGCTTGAGGATGGGCGTACCCTTGCGGATTACAACATCCAGAAGGAGTCCACTCTGCATTTGGTGTTGCGACTTCGTGGTGGCATGCAGATTTTTGTGAAGACTTTGACAGGGAAGACCATAACTTTGGAGGTTGAAAGTTCTGATACTATTGACAATGTGAAGGCTAAGATTCAGGATAAGGAGGGCATTCCACCAGACCAGCAGAGGCTTATCTTTGCTGGGAAGCAGCTGGAAGATGGGCGTACCCTTGCTGATTACAATATCCAGAAGGAATCCACTCTACATTTGGTGTTGCGCCTTCGTGGTGGTATGCAAATATTTGTGAAAACTCTGACAGGGAAGACCATTACCTTGGAGGTGGAAAGCTCTGATACTATTGACAATGTTAAAGCAAAGATTCAGGACAAGGAGGGCATTCCACCAGATCAGCAGAGGCTTATTTTTGCTGGGAAGCAATTGGAAGATGGTCGTACCTTGGCGGACTATAATATTCAGAAGGAATCCACTTTACATCTTGTGCTTCGCCTTCGTGGTGGATGTTAAGTTGCCCCTTTAAGTGTTTTTCGTCTGTTGTGTCAAGTGTAATGTACGTGAACAAGTATTTGTGGTTTGCAGCTCTTGTTTAAGTGCTGCTCTTTTAATTACAATCTAAGATAATGTATTTAAGTAAGTGTACGTACAACCCGTGGTATGCAATTGCACTGTCTTTAACTAAAGAATGAAACTATATAATTTTTAATTACTATTTTAAATTTCCATGTAGAGAATATTAACTGATGCATCGATCTTTTATTTGTTAGTTTTGGTTAGTCTATATTTTCTTTTGTGAACTATTTCAGATTTTATTCGTAAAATTTATATAACTAATGCGACTTTCATCATGGTTAATCTACACAAAATATCTCGACAGATATCAGCTAATAAAACAGGACACACGTCTGGCCAGCATGATTTTTTTAAGCTCGAGTTGGTACTTGAAAATTACTAGACACATTATGATGCTATATGATTTTGTAATAAATGAGTTTGATGTTTCACTGATAATAATTAGGTGTCCCAGTTTTCTATTTATGTATTCACTCAGACTTAATCTAAAGTCTCTTGGAAAAACAGGAAATCCATCGTGATCAATGGCCTACAGTTTCTTTTTTCATTTTGTCTTTTAGATTCACCGATTACCTGTTTAATCAGGTACAACGTCAAACAACCCTGGGTGCTTATTTTTTCCTGGAAAATCAACACAAATCAGTCAATCAATTCATACCTATGATGTGGTTAGGCTACCATGTCCAACTGATAAATTGACCGAAACAAGACGTTGCGTACTTCAACCAATACAGATTAAAAGAATTAATTATTTAGCAGCTATGACTCACGTTGGTTTTGTTCTCTGAATCAGTTCTGTTGGATAGTCACCTGTTACAAGCTTCTTCTAATGAAGAATTGATATTAACCCCTAAATAGATGGTAGACACAGAGAAATGTTATCATTCGGGAACAGAGGCAAGATATTTTCAGTTTTAACATTCTGCAGCAATTATCATCTTCAGAAAAAAAAGAAAAAAATTATAAGCAAAGCATCTCAACATCATGTTATGAAACAATAGTGGGACGAGAGTTATCGATGCACTCTTCAAATTTTTATTTTTTATTTATTTATTTATTTTTGCATAGAAGCTGAAAGTATTTTTTTATTTGTTTTTTATTTAGAAAATGAAATCATTGAAAAGTTTTGGTGATGATTCATGCCATCGATCATGGCTCCTAGTGTGAAAATTTTATGGTGGTTGTTGTGAACTAGTTAATGATTTTACTAGATTAAGTATTTGTTTTAATCTAGTGTCTCTAAGTGGGGGTTTAATTCTTGGTGCATTTAGGAACTGTTATTCTTTCGTGTGCTAAGATTTCGAAGTGTGCCAATTGTTATTTAGTTGATTCTTTAGAAACCTTCCCCTTGGTTCTCGAAGCTCTTTTTAAAATGAGACTTCTACTACCCAACCAAATTCAGGGAAATACAAGGTTTTTCAGCCTACCAAGTGTGTCTCGCACTTCCCTCAAAATTGCTTCTCCTTTGGTGAATAATGGTGGCTTTGATCATGAGTTTCTATTCGAAGTGAATGTTAGCATCATCCTTAACTTGGATTAGGATCACATCTTGACTGAATTGAATATTCTGCAATGCTTGTTTGTATGGCAAAACCTATTATTTTGCCATAACTTGAGTTTCACAAATCGAAATCAATTAAAACCCTAAAGCACAGGGCTTTCAACTGTATTTTTTTTATTTTTTTATTTTATAAAAATTCTCTTTTTCATTTCAATACTAGCTCTTCATGCAAAGTTAGGGTCATTTTATGCAAATTTGTATGCATTCATGGTCGTCAAAGCTTGTATGTTTTTGAACAAATTGTCATAAATCTAGCACTCAAGAATATTAGTTTGGATAGTATCAGGCTATCTGTGACTGTGATTAATACCATCTTCCTCTCAAAGTCAATTTATTTTCTGCATAATTCTGATTTCTTAGAGTCATATGTCTGTTTTGCCCACAAGTTGAACTACATATGATGGATTGAATCACTATTTTTAGGCTGTGTTGCCCATAAGTTTCTACTGCTCATTTATTTCATTTGTCACCAGTTTCTCCGAAGAAGACAGTTTCTGCATACTTCTCAATGATTGTAGATTGAGTCGGTATGAATAAAAGTTTATAAGAACTTTGAGAATCTTTCTATTGAAAATAGATAACTTTTTCCTGTAGAGAAACTTTTAAAAGCACTTCTAACTTATCCTAAGATACTCTTCCTGTCATGTGCATTATGCATATTATGACCTGTAAGCCTACCACATTACCACACCTCTTCCAGACAGCGAAGAGAGTATTCCATAATATTAATTCAAGAACCAATTAATTCATATATTATTATGAAAAATGAACTTAATTTTCTCATTAAACTTGTTACGTATAAAAACATATTTGTGTCCTCTGCTAGTGCCTTGCTCAATTTAGAATTTTTTTGACAATTATTATCTACTCTAAGAAGGATCATAATAACTCCTGCTGCTACTAAGTTGGCTGCAGTGGTTATGGATGTTGTGAGAGTCTGGAATGAGTGAGGAAATGGCTGAATCTAATACTGCTTTCAGAGAAGGATCCGTGGTTATGGCAGCACAAACAACATCCACCAAGTCAAGGTTCTTCTTTGAGGGTAGTCCCTTAGATTGTTGAGGATAGCCATGCAAAGAAAGAGGAAAAGGTTGGAAATGATTTGAAGAAATAGCACTAGCACTTGAGGGGTGTGTTAAGTCCAGTGTTATAGTGGGGCATGATGATGCAGATGGATAGTAGGTAGAAGTAGATAATGAATTTGAAAAGGTGGTGGTGGTTGAGCCAGAAAGGAACATGCTGAGTGCTGCTGATGTTGTGCATGCCATGGACCTGGCTGGTGGTGGGAGTGAATGATTATGATTCCCCTCATAGGTTGTGATCATAATATTCTCATCCTCAGCACACCTTTGAACCTGTTACAAAGTAAATAACATATATATCTCTTAAATTCAGCACACTTTCAAATTTCTAGCCAATAGCCATGTATCAAGAATCTACTATACAATGAAATAGGAAGAAGGTTCGAATGTCAAATTGATCAACGACCACTTATGGATCCCTATGCATGAAGAGTAGAACGTAAGGGTATGATGAATGGTGATCTGTTATTAAATTTTCGTTATGTTCTAACACTAGGTTTCCAACTTACAGAGAGATATCTCAGGATACAACCTTTATAAAAAAAAATTCTTAAAATAAGATGAATTATAACTTTTAAAAGTTGGAAAAACAAATAAAATTTTATGATAATGTGTCTCACAAGAAAATGCTAAGAGACGATCTTTATAAAAACATTTAAAAAACAAGTTCTTAAAATAAGAAGATGAATTATTAAAATTTTGATAATGTACCTCACAAGAAAATGCTAAGAGACTCATAATATATAAGAGTCATCTTACTCTTTTAATCCATGTTTAAGATATATCATGAAATATTCGTGTGTCTAAAGCGTATAAAGATGTATGCTTTGTAAGTTTTTTTTTTTATGATTATAAAATTATTGATTATTTTAAAATTTTTATGTTTGAATTTTCTTTTTCTCTTAAAATATTTTAAATTAATGCCTATCAAATCTCTCTTTTTACATTAAATTTTGTTTCATGTTACCTAAATCTCAACTGTTCTATCTCTTCTAAATTAAATAAAAAATTATTGATTATTCTAAAAGTTTCGTTTTAGAATTTTTTTTCCTAAAATATATTTAAATTTCTTTCTATCAACTTAGTTCCTTCTGGTTAAAGGAAATATGTTAAACGAAACTTCTTTATTAAATATATTTCAAATCCACTATGCAAAATAAATCTTAGATGAAGAATGAGGAAATTGATTAAACTTGGGATTCGAGGCAAACACAAGTTAGATATTCATAAATCTAATAGAGAGTACAGTTAAATGATGCCAATAAATGAATAGAAATATAAACATGTTGACCTAAGAAATAAAAAAATCTCCACCGACCTGTTTGCGAACTGGACATGCTGTTCCCATGTTACAACGATAGTAGGCCCTGGGACAAGGATTGCCCTTTGCTATCTTTTGTCCATATTTTCTCCATTGACACTCATCACCCATCTGAGAATAATACATAATCATATCGTTTTCTTTAGTGTCATATTTCTTTTTTATTATAAGAATTATAATAATAATAACATAGTTTGAATTTAAGTTTTATTTATTTATTTTATATACATTAAAGACAAATCTATATTTATAAAATATGATTTTTGTTGATTAAATATTATTTTAATATAAATGAGAATCAAACTTAAGAGTATTATGTCAATCTCAATATTCTAGGATAGAATTTACAACCATTAGGTGAAGATGCTTGATTAATCAGATATGCTAATTAACTTAAGACTTCTACTGTTTATTTCAATTCTCACCTACTATTTTTTTAACTGAAGTAGATGTTTATATACTCGTACATTGCAAGAGCGCCTGTGTAAAAAATAATTTTTAGTTCTATTAATAAGTAATATGGATTTGGGATAGTGAGAATTCAAATATTAATTTTATTATTACACACTTCCATGCCTTTAAAAATAAATGATATTAAAGTAATAGATAAAACGATGCTGTTGTATTTAGCTTTATATTTGCAATTAATGTCATTGGATTTTCACTTCCAAAAATGCGGCAGAAGGAAAATTGTAAATGATTGTTGGGCTTTTGATCTCATCAATTTGAGTCACTAATGAAAAATTAAGTTTCCAACGTTCGTTAATTGAGTAACTTAAATACTATAATAGAGAAAAAGTAATGGACAATACGTTTAAGAAGAAAAAGAATGATTAGCCAAGTAAGACATGTTAATTTGGACTCTTGAAGAGGAAATGAAGGATTAACAAAACTGGAAACTAGTGATAAAATATGCTTACATGTTATAAGTAATGAGTAATGTTGATTGATCAACAAAATGTCAACATTACATACATCAATTTTTTTAATTACTATTATTATTATTATTAAACTAAAGTATCCCTTAGAGTTAAAGTTTCATACCGTGAAATATTAAAATTTATTTAAGGGATTAACCTCTCTTAATAAATGTTTTTGTATAAATTGGTTAAAGATCAAACTTTTGATCACATGTTTAAGAATCAAAATTATTTATTAAAATTATCTATCAAATATGTCATATCTTATTATTATTCATTAATTCTTTAAATTATATTTATCGATTTTTATTTGCTCTCTAGAGGAAAAAGGGGTGTAACTACCTTTGATGTTCACATTGGATGGGGTATAGCAAGAACTTCATAATAATAATAATAATAATAATAAAGAGTTAATTTGAACCACTAAAATCAATGGATTGGTGAGGACTGAAATAGTATATATATATATATATGATTCTTGATTCGATTCATGTTTTGTCATTATAATTCTCATGAGTTAAAAAAAATGTCAATTCTAATAGATAAAATTATATGTCAATTCTTATAGGCAATTTTTTAGCTCTACTTATTTAAATGAATGAAAAAGTAAAAGAATAAATTACATTAAAAAAAATCAATTTTTTACAATATTACTTGTTTGATAAAATAGATTTTAACGCTTTGTACTTTTATATTATATAAAATTTTAAAATATATAAAGTAAAAAAAATACGTCCTTTCTCCCCTTTCGTGGGGAAGTTTATTAATTAATTTATTTTTTTAAATGGATCCATTCAATTTGCCCTTCCCCTCTCCCTTCTTCCAAAAACCAAAGGGGATTAAATTTACCATATATAGTTTCATTAAAATATGAATGAATACACCCTTACTTTCTAACAAATCACTTTAGAGTCAAACCAAGTAAATAAATGCATAAAATGATAGATTAATTAAATATCCATACCAAAGATGATTCTGCTCGTGCCTTCACGGACACTCTTGCTTTCCTGCAAGAAGCCTCAAATGCTTGATCTTCTATGATTTTTGCTTCTTGTGATGTTCCTTGCAGGTTATTGATTTCACCTTCAACATAGTAAGAAAATATACATATGTCAGGTTTCTTCCTAGCTATGTTCTTCTCAATATATACTTATTCTTCTGAATTATTGTTACCAGTATTTAAGAACTGCAAGAAGGGTAACACTACTGGTTTCTCCATGTCATCTTGCCTGCTTTCCTTCTAGACACACATGAAGACATTTTTTATTCATTTACTTGATTTTTTCTAACAAAACGTAAGAAAAACATATAAATTATTATTTTTATCTCGGTAAAAATATGTATAATAAGAGTTTGCACTAAAAGTTAACATTAGTTGTATTAAAAATTTTGAGCAATTAAATACTGCTATAATTTTCATAGCAAGTGCAATAGAACAAAAATGAATTATCTATTAGTCAAATTAATAAGCATACAAAAAAACAAAAAGTTGTAAGTCAAGCTTGCCTTTGCGTCCTCATTATTTCCTGGTGAAGATAGTTTCTTCTGCTGCATCACCAACAAAAACTGATTCTGAAGAGCAGCGTAGTGTTCAGTGATCTCATTTAGCATATGTTAAGGTTATTTTGA